GTAGAGGCGGCAGACGTGGAGGCGCAGGCGCCGGGCGGCCCTGCTCAGCAGCGCGGCCAGCCCGAGGCTCAGCAGCAGGTTCAGGGTGCGGTGGGCAGCGCCCTCCTGCAGGAAGCTCAGGCCGCAGGTCAGCCCGCAGCCCAGCGAGAACTGGCACAGCAGGGGCAGCTGCAGCCCCTCGGCGCCCCCGGAGCCCTGGCGAGGGAGACGGCAGAAGGGCAGCGATGGTGGGGCTCAGGTCGCCCCTCACCACGGGGCACCGGGCGCTGTCAAAGCACAAAGGCTTCGGTCTGCAGGCGGCCGGGGCCCAAGGGAGCCCTGAGGATCATCCCCAAAGACGGGACGTTGCCTTCACCTCCAGCCCGACTGGGATGGTTTCTTTCCGCTTCATTTCAATCATGATTATTACTTGGAACCCGTGTGCTTAATGAAGGGCGGGGGTGGCTCAGAGCCTGGGGCACCTGGGTCCAAAGCCTGGCTACTTCCTGCGGGGTGACCACAGACAAGCCGCTTCCCTGCTCCGAGCCTCAGTTTACCCATCTGGGAAATGGGGATCACACAGATCTTTACCCCTGTGGTTGAGGACAATGGGAGGACGTATTCAAAGGATCTAGCCCGTGGGAAGCTCTTTGTGGGCTGGGCTTGTGTTCACTCTGGGTGGAGACTTGGCCTTGGGGGTCACAGCCCGAGGAAACAATCTGTTCTCTAGACTCAGTCTTACAGAGGGGCTGGTGAGGAGCGGAGATGCTTCCCGTGGGCCCAGCTTCCCGTGTTCCGGGGTGGAAGCCGGGGCCCAGGGCGGGCAGTTTGCACCCACCGCCTCCCTGTGGCCTCACCTTGCCCTGGGAAAGCAGCGTGGAGATGGCCCTGAGGGAGAACTCCAGCACCACCAGGGAGGCCACCCGGGTCCCCACGACGGTCAGGATCAGGGCCAGCCCAACCAGGTGCACGGTCTCCAGGGGGGCCCAAGGGGCCTGCAGCCGCTCCTTTTCCAGCCGCCGCTCTGGGTTGCTGTGGGGGCAGAGTGGGCGTAGGCAGAGGGGCAGCCCCACCGGCCTGGGCCCTGGACGGGGTCCCGGGGCCCCCAGCCACGCTCCCTGGCAGGACAGATGGTCTCTTGCCCTCAGTCCTCCCTCAAAGCCCAGAGTCACAGCTGGGGGCCCAGGGGCCATAGGGGCTGGGGGTGGGCACTCACTTGGCACAGCCCACGAAGAAGTAAACCCTCAGGAGGCTGTTCAGGATGGAGACTCCGCAGGCCCCGATGAGGCCTGAGGGGTGGGAGGGAAAGCAGGCGGCTAGGCGGGGGGGAGGGCAGCCTAGGTGCCGGAGACCGGGGTGGGGCCCCCCTGAACTGCCGGGAGCAGGCCCCGAGGGGCAGGGAGGAGGAGCTCACCTTCCAGGAGGGAGTTGAGGAGGAGGCCAGAGCCCCACTCGAGGGAGGAGAGGCCAGGGAGCCAGGAGGGGAGGGACGGCAGGAAGAACATGGCAGCCAGATCCTGCCCCAGCCTGGGCCAGGTCCGCAGGGGAGACTGACGTCAGGGGGCAAAGGTGT